AATAATATCACTTTTTTTTTGTCTCTTAGAAATGCACATTTGATAGTAGCTTGAGTTAGGATGCAGAGATACATTTTTGTTCATTATCAAAATCAGTAACATCGGTAAAAATTGTAGCAACCTTTTTTTTCCCTTTTTTTTTCAATTAAGCATTGGTCTCCCATAGTAGCATACATTTAAATCATGATAATCACAGTTAAAACCACACATATAGCACCTCAATACCATGGTAAAAATATAACAATATGGTTTTTAGGTAGCCTGTATGAAAAACAGTAGTCTAAAAACATTCAGTATAAATGCACACATGCTATAGCTTAATCACAAATACATACTATAATTATATACCATTACTGTACTAAAATTCAGCGTGAATATCGCACATTTCTGCCACAATACCATGGTGCAGTGAGTGTTACTACAGTAAATCCATGGTAAATGATGGCGATGTGTAGATTGAAAAGCCTTCTGACTGTCTCGTTCATTGCACACAGTGTTTCTCCTGTTTGGCTTTAAACTAGTTTAAATCTAAACTAAATGAATAGAGTTCAAGCGCTTCACACTGGATCTCACAGCGCTGCTTAGAGCTTGCGTGACTAAGTAAACGCATCTGTTCTGAGCTCACGCCGCGCAGCCATTTGAACTGTTATCCGACCGAGTGAATAAACGATCCGTGTGGCGCGCGATTCAAATGAGTCGCGTTGTTTTGTTCCGCTTTTGGCCCATAAACATTATATCGAACATTTATCGAACTCTTCATATCGTTTTTATCGAGGAAAATTATATCGCGATAATTATCATTATCGAATTATCGCCTAGCCCTAGCTGGAAGTTATCTTTATGAGATCATTTATGATGATTTTTAAGAACACAGTTTTTTTCTTTTCAGGAATCTTCAAGTTTTGTCTTTTAGAACAATTGTACGAAAAAAGATAAGAACATTCGTAAGAATTTTTTGGGGGGAATACTAAATATACTTAAAGGTGCCATAGAATGCATTGATACAATATTTAAAATTGTTCTATGATGCCCCCAGAGTGTGTATGTTAAGTTTTATCTCAAAATACCCCACAGATAATTTTTATAGCTTGTTGAAATTGCCACTTTTAGGGTATGAGCCAAAACATGACGTTTTTATGTTTGTCCCTTTAAATGCAAATGAGCTGGTGCTCCCACCTCCCTTTTCAGAAGAGGGCGGAGCTTCAAGAGCTCATGCTCCGGCATACCGGTGTTAAAGTTTTACTGGTGGTGACCGTGTTACTGACTTCATATTGCTTCCAAATGCAATTTTTAACTACCACATTCCTATTTACGATCATTCTGGTAGCACGTGAAGGCAGCATCTGTGAAAACCGGCAGAGACAATGGTAGCTTTAGCAACATTAGCCTTACAGAGAGCCAAGAAGCTCTTTTGGAAAACAAAATATGACGCGTGATGCTTACTTTGTCTGGAGTCTGGACGTTTGCGCACAAAGCGTTGGTATCGATCCCTTTTTCAGAAGCAGTCTTTGCACAACTCCTGTGCTGAACTGTCCCTCATTTGTGAGGCAGTCCAGCGTAAAATTATTAGCACAAACATATAGGACTTTTCTGTTTTTTTCGGAGACATTTCCTTCGAAAATTAAATTTAACCACCGTGTCCTCAGCCTGTATGAAAAACAGTAGTCTAAAAACATTCAGTATAAATGCACACATGCTATAGCTTAATCACAAATACATACTATAATTATATACCATTACTGTACTAAAATTCAGCGTGAATATCGCACATTTCTGCCACAATACCATGGTGCAGTGAGTGTTACTACAGTAAATCCATGGTAAATGATGGCGATGTGTAGATTGAAAAGCCTTCTGACTGTCTCGTTCATTGCACACAGTGTTTCTCCTGTTTGGCTTTAAACTAGTTTAAATCTAAACTAAATGAATAGAGTTCAAGCGCTTCACACTGGATCTCACAGCGCTGCTTAGAGCTTGCGTGACTAAGTAAACGCATCTGTTCTGAGCTCACGCCGCGCAGCCATTTGAACTGTTATCCGACCGAGTGAATAAACGATCCGTGTGGCGCGCGATTCAAATGAGTCGCGTTGTTTTGTTCCGCTTTTGGCCCATAAACATTATATCGAACATTTATCGAACTCTTCATATCGTTTTTATCGAGGAAAATTATATCGCGATAATTATCATTATCGAATTATCGCCTAGCCCTAGCTGGAAGTTATCTTTATGAGATCATTTATGATGATTTTTAAGAACACAGTTTTTTTCTTTTCAGGAATCTTCAAGTTTTGTCTTTTAGAACAATTGTACGAAAAAAGATAAGAACATTCGTAAGAATTTTTTGGGGGGAATACTAAATATACTTAAAGGTGCCATAGAATGCATTGATACAATATTTAAAATTGTTCTATGATGCCCCCAGAGTGTGTATGTTAAGTTTTATCTCAAAATACCCCACAGATAATTTTTATAGCTTGTTGAAATTGCCACTTTTAGGGTATGAGCCAAAACATGACGTTTTTATGTTTGTCCCTTTAAATGCAAATGAGCTGGTGCTCCCACCTCCCTTTTCAGAAGAGGGCGGAGCTTCAAGAGCTCATGCTCCGGCATACCGGTGTTAAAGTTTTACTGGTGGTGACCGTGTTACTGACTTCATATTGCTTCCAAATGCAATTTTTAACTACCACATTCCTATTTACGATCATTCTGGTAGCACGTGAAGGCAGCATCTGTGAAAACCGGCAGAGACAATGGTAGCTTTAGCAACATTAGCCTTACAGAGAGCCAAGAAGCTCTTTTGGAAAACAAAATATGACGCGTGATGCTTACTTTGTCTGGAGTCTGGACGTTTGCGCACAAAGCGTTGGTATCGATCCCTTTTTCAGAAGCAGTCTTTGCACAACTCCTGTGCTGAACTGTCCCTCATTTGTGAGGCAGTCCAGCGTAAAATTATTAGCACAAACATATAGGACTTTTCTGTTTTTTTCGGAGACATTTCCTTCGAAAATTAAATTTAACCACCGTGTCCTCAGCGGTCTATGGAGACTCCTATGTTCGTTGGTGCATCCCAACACAGGACACTTGTAATGGCTCTTTGGCGCTGACATTGTATCTCGAGCAGCTATAGCAAGAAAAAAGTAATGGCGGACTGCTGCTTCTCACTCAGGGCTGTGTCTATGCTAATAGGGCAGAGATCATCACAAATGGGCGGGACTTTCCCCGAGTATGATATCATAGTAGGGAGAAATCTGGAACCGCTCGTTTGGAGAGACCGTTTATGATTTATTGGGATTATAAAAACATGAGTGGGTGAATTTTTACCATTATAGGCTGGTTGTTTTCACACACTGACTGCGGCCACACAACTGTGTTCAACCACCTTATAAAAGTGATTTTTGCATTCTATGGCACCTTTAATTCTAAAGTTAGAAAATAAGAAAAAATAGACATTTTTTTTATTCTTAAGGATGTTTTGTGAATCCGGCTCTAGAAAACCATAGAGACTTTGAGCTGTTTGGATTCGGGCCAGAAAGCAACCCTCAGAACAACCTAGTAGTGCTTGGCGGTATGACCAAAAATGTATATCTCGGTATTTTTCAAAATTAGACCGGTTCCACGGTACATGACGGTGTATGTTTTTTTTCATGCATGACCGGGTGTTAACCATATTTTCTACTGATTGAGAGAGGAAATACTGCAGTATATTGACTTCGAATGCCCTATTTTACTGTCATGATGAGTGAATATTGTCAAAAAATAGCACACTAAATAGTGACGAAACACGACCCCTTTTAATACATGTTAAACATGAGTCACTCTCATTTATAATCGCGGCATCGTCTGATAAAATCAACATGCATCTACACTAAAGAGTGGCTATATGGTTGTTCTGGCTATATTACTTTTTTGTCTCATGCAGCACACTCTGCGTAACAAACAAAAAAAAAACAACCCCAAAAAAATGTGCATGTGATATGAACTACGCTCATAAAGTCGCGCTTGTGTGTGTGAGACGTGGGAGCTGATGGCAGGGGCGGTGGATGTTTGTGGCAGTCATTGTGGATGAGTTGTTCTGTGTCATCACGTTCTATTAGTTCTACAGCTTCAGTTTCTGAACTTTCATGCTTAGTAACACATACAGCTGTTCCCTCACCACAGTGCAACAGTGAAAAGAGAGACCCCTTTCAAACAGTGTCGCGTTCCGAACGTTGTTTAAGCGACATACACCGGTATTGCGGTATTTAAAAAATGCATATTATAACAAAAATAAACACTGGTATTTAGTATGAACCAGTATACCGCCCAGCACTACAACCTAGTAACCGCCTAGAAACACCCTAGCAACTGCACGACAAGAACCTAGCATTAATTTGTGTCTGTGACTTTTTCACAGGCAAATGTCACTTGTATTTTATTGAAAATGTATTATTATTAAAAATAAATTAAATTGAATTAAACATTAAAAATAAGTAAAAAATTAAATATTTGTTTATCTTTTTAAACTACCCTGAAAAAGAAAAATTAAGAAATATAATTTTTCTGTGTTTCTGAGCATAATGAGTGTGAGAATGCATGCTGGTGACATGGTGGGCATAAACAATGTCTGGACAGTGTGGCCAGCTAGGTCACCGGAAATGTGACGTAAACGCAATGACGGCAAAGGGGAAAACAATCCCAAGAGCCCCTTCTTTTTTGTATCCTGCTGCTCTGGCTGTTTACAAACCATTCCTCCCATGTTGATTACTTTGATTAATTTCTTTTAAATCATTGAATTATTTGAACGATATGCTGATGAATTCATAAAATTTATCACAATTAATTGCATGTATCAGTATTGTGATATGAAAAACTCCAGTTGGATATTATTGCAGCAAAGAAGAGTAAATCACTGAAGAGATATAAAAAAAAAAAAAAAGTGTGTTAAGGACTCAATGTGTTTTTTCTTTTATTTCAAATCATTGAACATAAGCTTAAAGGTACGGTATGTAATATTGACAACCAGTGGTTGAAATGGGTACTGCAGTCCAGATTCAAAATATCGTAGAGTTGTTTTTCCCGCTCACTGCTCCTCAGACGTGATGCTCACACGGGTTGCCAGATTGAGGACACGCAACAGGTACGATCGTAAATGACAATGGAAGTTGACCAGCTGTACACTGTGAGTTGATTTATCTGCATTTTAATATGCCTCTGGTCATAGGTTTTTTTTAGATGGATGCTGAGGCGTTTTAGGTCAGGTAGAATCAGTTTGTTTGCTGGCTTCCATGGATGTGATGCGCTGTGTTTTCCACCAACTGACGACCCAGGGTGTCAAAAAAAATCCTTTTGGGTAAATTGGCAATGGGCGGAATCACCCAGACCAAAACAAAAACAGACATTCCGACACGGAACACACATTTCAAAGTAGAATTACTGGATGTAGCATTGTTTTTCGGAGAACAAAACATGTGAACTTAGCATGTTTCCTAAATATCTGCAAATGTATTATGGTGTTTTTTTAATGCTTTTTATGTATTTTTTTTTATTATATACTGCCCCTTTAACACTGGCTTTTAGTCCCCAGTGATCCAAGTTTGTTGGTCTGGCCAAGGTAGACCTTTAACACTAGACTAATTTGCGCGTCTTTGTGTTGTGCCTCACTGTTTTTCAGCATCTCACGCCATGAACACCTTTTTTAAGTTGTTCTGTGAAGTTAAAAGTTTCAGTTTAGACATGACATGATAATCTATGTTTTTCTCCAGTGTACAGAAGTGTACAGGAGTTGTGTGTGTGTGTGTGTGTGTGTGTGTGTGTGTGTGTTTTAAAAATCGCACAGTAAATCACAAAAAAACAAGCCATCCAAAAACCGAAAACCATGGTTAAAAGAAAAACTTTATTGGGCTAACTTTATTGTTGCATCCCTAATATATATACAATGACTAAAACAATCAGGACACCTTAGCAACCACATAGCAATGGCATGGTAACCAACCACAGCAGCCAATCACAGTGATAACACATTCAAGTGTTAGAGAATTTCAAATATTAGTTATTTACAGTGTTTTTAATGCAGTTTTTTAGTCATATGATTTTACCTCAAGTTTTGTATAGCATGAAGATGCATTTGTACTGATGCCAGACTTGGTGACTGTTCATACAGAACATGTTTTTGCATTCCACTGCACTGCTTTCCCATTGTTTTCTATGTAAACATAAGCTACATGGACGTCTTTGACCGTTGCACTCACATCTGGCATCATTTGTAGTGTCTTTCGCATGATACAGTGTTCTAAACAGTACGCTGCTCAAGTTAAAAGTTCAACTTTTTAAAAAACGCATGCGTTTTTTCCAAATACAAATAGAAAATAGGCAAATGAATTGTAATTTTCATTTGAAAATTATTTAATTCAATGGATTGTGAAAAACAATTATCACATGATTATTTAATATATAAAACGATTTGAGGTTGATTTACATAAAATAACTATATTATGGATTATGCTGTTAATTTAGGCCTAAATCCTATCTAAGACTTATATTTAAGCCCAGAAAGAGCATTACCAGGGTAGTTAAGACTTAGTATTAGGAGAGAGGAAAAGATAAGTGAGTGAAATGAATAAGCTTAATGGCATGAAACAGGAAATGTGTTAAAAGTATGAGAACAATGAAGTGGCTGCGTGAGTATGTAGAGGTTTAAAGATGGGAGAAATAGTGCAGTGAGGATGCAATGAAAGCAGAATGATGGAAGTATTACAAGAACGGGAATTTAACATGCATGCATGTGAGGGATGAGGAAGGGGCAGAGAGACGGCCGGAGAGGAAGTGATGTTAGTCTGTTTGGAGGTTGCTGAGTCATTAGTGGGCCGGATGATCACTGATAGAACGAACACCCAGGGGCCAGCGCAGGGGGCGGGACCGCGTAACACTGCATGTGCTCTGAACAACAGCATGAGTGCGCGTGGCGAGAGCATGCGCTCCGCAGGATGTCCCGTGCTGTAAACACCATGTATGTCACGAATTCTGCTTGAAACATCAGCGTATGACTTTGGTTAGGTGCTAGTCTGATGCTGGTTGACCAAGAAAGTCTTGTTGGTTGATGAAATAGAACATGATTGCATGATTTTCCAAACACATTGCAATGACAAGAGGTTATATAAATGATGCCAATATCTTCCAAAGAAAAAAACATTTTTCCTCAAAAAACAAAAAAAACCCAATTGATTTAGGGTTTCGTTTGATTTTGATTTCACGTCTCAAACCAAAACCAAACTGGTTTTGCAGTGATAAGTGGGTATATACATTTTTCTGTCCGTTACACTGCCCTACATCTTACATATTTAGATACAAAAATAAATTGTGTGAATGGCTCTCCACATTTGCTCTGAATAATCTTGATTTTCGCTTTGCGCCCATAAAGTTCAAAAATACAAATGGAAAATAACCTGTAATTTTCATTTGTGAATTCTAGAGATGCACCGATTGCAATTTTCTTGGCTGATTCCGATTTCCGATTTTTTGTTAGTGTGATCTGCCGATACCGATTTTTACCGATTCCTATTTTCTTTCTAAGAACTATAATTGACAGCATATACAAACAAAAATCTACTTTTCTTCAACGCAAAGTTTTATTTTCATAAAAAAACACAAGTAAAAAGACAGTAATAAAATAAGAACAAATAAAAAAAAATTGCAAACAACAGCACAAATAAATGCAATAGAATAAAGAAAGCTATGAAACTAAGTTTTTCAGGTTAAGCAAGTTTTTATTCAGTTAAGAAATACTACAGAAATTAAAGTAATCAAATGTAAAATAACACATCCAGTGTTATTTTACATTTGATTAATTTCTGTAGTCTTCATTGTAAAAATTAAATACAGATTAATGCTTACCATTAAAGTTATAAAACGTATTCAGTGAAGAGCAGAACATTATTTTCTTTGTCTTTTGTTCTTTGATTAACATGACAGACAGCAGCAGGTATATTGGACTGCGGTCCCTTTAAGAGTTTATCCA